CTTCTTCAGCTTCAGTATGTAGTTGGGTAGAAAAAAAATTGATTGGCAATTCAGCATTACTGTTTTTTTGAAAAAGACATGCGACTTTCATCGTTGTCTTGCAAAGAATTTTCGTTTTCCAAAAAACTCATACGACTGCCTTCTTCACAATCTTTTATTGAAAAAATTCAAAGAACTAAGTAATACAGTTTTTTTTTATTTTGTTCACCATTCTCTTACCTGTTACATAATTTACTTTCTGCTTCTTTTCGCTGTTCTCCATATTATATTTCTTTATTTTTCACCAAATTATATTTTAATATTTTTTTTATAAACACTTTTTTCTCTTCTGTACGTTTAGAACAATTGGCTTAACTGAAATCAATTTGACACAATGCATTTATTATAAAAGCCTAACTGTAATTTGTACAAAATCTGAGAGCATACGCCATGTGCAATAGTCGCTTATGTAGACATTGCTCTCTTTTTTAGCATACTAAGCAACATGCAATAATATTTTATGTAGAGATAGAAGGTGTTCTTAATCATTCTCAATTTGCAATATCCATTTATCTCTACATAAGCTCTTATGCAACTCTCTTGTTTATTGCAATACGATTTACAAAAAATATGCAAAAACAGTTTAACCCATTATAGGCTATTTATTAAAATTAATATATTATAGCAACATGGTTGGAAGTATATTTAGGCGGTTATTGTATATGTAAAGGGGTTTCTTTACGATTTATGTCAATATGTTTTTACTTATATCTTTTTAAATAATTTTGCCAGAGAAATGGGGATTTCACGCACATGTTTAGTTTTGTTAGTTCAATAAGATAGCATACATATCTCAGATCTTTCTTAAGTCGACTTAGGCGGTTATTGCTTGTGACCACAGATATATGGGAGCTATAGCTATATCTGAACCGATTTCGATCAAAAATACTTATTATCAGGCCTGATTTGGTTGTATTTGCAAAATTCCATACTATTCGGGCTGATATTACACGTTTGGTGCACAATAAAAGGCAAATCGGACGAAGATATATATGGGAGCTATATCTAAATTTTTACCGATTATCTCCAATTTCAATAGGGTTCGTCCTTGGGCCAAAAAATGTTGTTTGGAAAATTTCATCTCAATCGGATAATAAATGCGACCTGCAAGAATACATGGACAGACGGACGGACGGACAGACGGACAGACGGACTGACATGCATAAATCAACTCAGAAAGTGATTCTATGCAGATCATCAAAAGGAACTATGGGTCTATCTCGTTTCCTTTTACCTGTTACAAACAAATGCACAAAGACATAATACCCTAATCACTTTGTGGTGTAGGGTATAAAAATGGTAGAGATCGAACCATTCCTTCTGGTATCTCCCCACACAGGGTTCAAGATTTAAAAAAAAAAACGCTCAAAGAAAGCGAAACAAGTATCCAAATCTCTTCAAATTTCACACGTACAAACATTTTTGCTAACACAAGATCTGTTGTGCAGATGATTGATATCTGCGAACCCCTTCTGGTACCTCACCCAAACCTGGCACGTCGCTATGTATATGTATCATATTTATTTTGGTCCGATACGAAATGGACAATATTGACCCGTTCCTTCGGAACCTACTCCATAGAGGGTCAACAATTTGAGTAATCATAACAAAAGTCAAAATATATTTAATAAATCGAACATTGGCTGAGGGTATACATCTGTCGGCAAAACTGACTGACACGTTTTAACATTTTTTATTTATTTATTGTTTTTGTTTTTGCATCTAACGACTTTCTTCGTAAGCAATATAAATGCTCCTCACAAACAAAAATCTTCAAAAATTTTATAATTTTTGTAAAAAAAAAAAATTTGAGGCCTATAATTTTTGGCCCCCATGACTTATGTGTGAAAGACTCCCAGTCAGAAAGACTTAAAAGCTTTGAAAATTAGATAACCTGTTCTACCAATATCACACATATTGACTTAAGACAAAGCCCGCTCATTAATGAGATACCACACCTGCCGAAGAGAGTATATACATGTGAATGTGCATGTGCACATGAACACCTGTAGTTCCAACCACACACAACACCACCACCACCATCACCGCCACCGCCACCACATACATCCTTACATCCCGAATAATTATAAAGTTCGCAGTAATTTATTGTTTGGCGCTGGCGTCTGATGCTTGTAGCGGCGATGTTGCGGTTAATTATAACTGAGCGCCACCCTAAACTTTACTCAGGGAGCCAACTAACTTTTAGTCTTTTATCATCCCAACCACATGGCAAAACTTTTCGAATTAAAGATCCGTCCTTTTTTTTTTTTTTTTTTTTTTTTTTTGGTTGAGTTTTTAGTTTTTGAGGTTTTTTTTATTTAAGGATAAGGATTTTTGTGTGTTGCAAATGATGGTTAATAATCTGAAGGTTGTTTGGTGTTGAATTTCCGTCGGAGTATATGAGAGCAAACGGGGAGAACATTATCCGGAAACATAAGTTAATGAATTTTAGTTAAAATATGAAAATAAGAATCTGTGTATTTTTCCCGAAGAATATACTCCCTCGATGCATGACGTTCGTTGTAGAGGTATCAAACAAGTTAGTCCATTTTCAAACTAGATTGAAATTTGATAGAAATATAACGATCGATTGTGCTGGAAAGTATTAGATGGTCAAGGAATATAGATTACGCCGTGGAAAACATAAAAATCATTACAAATCTCCCTGAATCTAGCAGATTATGAAAGTAGAAACGTATATCGGTGCTTGAAAAATATACATCGCAAAGTAACCTGAATAGAGGGGACACTTTTGGAAACTTCAGAAACTTTCTAAGCCACTCGTGCAACATCTGTTAAATTGTTTCCAGTGATAGCTCATTATATTGTTTACAAGCGTACAAAAGCATTTTGGTGAGAATTTTCCAGAAAAAAAGTTATTCGTGATGGAGTTCAAGCGTGATAGTGTGTTTTTTTTATATTTGGCTGGAAAATCGCAAGTGGCTATCGTTAGAGGACTCAAGCATTTAAATGTGAATAAATCTTTTGTGTCTCGTACCATCGTTCGTTACCGTGATACTGGTAGCGTAGCCCGACGTCAAGGAAGTGGACGGAAGAAAACAACAACATCAGCAGAAATAGTTCGAAAAGTAAAAAAGCGACTTGATCGAAACCAGCGTCGCAGTGGCCGAAAAATGGTTCGTGAACTGAACATTTCGCAATATTCCATTCGGCAAATATTTAAAATGAGCTCGGGGTAAAGCCATTGAAATTCCAAACAGTGCAAGAACTTACACCTCATCAGAAAGAAATAGACTCAAAGAGCTAAAAAGTTACTTCGCTTGGCCGAAAGTGGTGAACTTCCGAATATGGGTTTCTCCGATAAGAAAACATTCGTTGTCCAGCAGTTTGTTTGTTTTGAAAATGTGTACCTTCGGTTGGCCACCAGAACTCAAGCGCTGGCCATGGTGATGGTGTGGGCCGCCATAACAGCCGATGGTCGCTCTCCGGTCGTATTAATCGACTTTGGCATCAGAATAAAAAATATTCTGGAGGGTGTATTAAAGCTTGGGCACGCAAACATTTGGGCCGCAGACCTTGGACATTCCCACAGAACTCAGCACCATCGCACTCAGCACGCGCCACCCAAGAATGGTTACAAAATGAGGTTCCTCGCTTCATTTCTAGCGCACAATGGCCACCGAAATCTTCAGATTCTAATCCGTTGAACTACTGTGTCTGGAGTATTTTGGAAAGCAAGGTTGGCACTAAAAAATACCAAAGTGTCGATCACCTTAAGCAAGCGCTTCACCGGGAATGGGCCAAAATACCGCAGACCAATATTCGGGCAGCGTGTGACGGTTTCCTTGGCCGTTTGAAGGCCATAATTCGTGCCAAAGGTGACCAATTCGAACAAATCTAAATAAATTCTATAATTTGATGCTATTTCCGATATTTTTTGCTTTCATTCAATAAAATTTAAAAAAAATGTAACAATTTTTTATCTCACCCTGTATATGGGAGCTATAGCTATGTCTGAACCGATTTTCTCCGAATTCGATCCACTTACTTCTAGACTGTAATAAACTCAGGACTTTTGGACTGATAATGGCATTTGGTGCATAATTAACCCGTAATCGGTTGAAGATATATAAGGGACCTACATACAAATCTGATCCGATCTTGATGAAATGCAGCAGAGATAGTTCAGAGCTTTATAAGATGTCTGGTACCAAATATCATTGTTGTCGAATGCATATTACGAATTTGAGGGATTTAAATACCAAATGCGATGAAACATATATATGGAAGCTATAGCTATATCTGAATTCCGTCGGATGTATCAAAATTCAGGTAATTTGGACTGATATTGGCCATTTGGTGCACAATTAAACCGGAATCGATGGAATATATATATGGGAGCTATATCTAAATCTGATCCGATTTCTTTCGCCTATTTCAATAGGGGTTGTCCTTGAGCCAAACAAATATTGTTTGCAAAATTTCATCTCAATCGGATAATAAATGCGACCTGTATTTTGTTCACAAGAATACGTGGACGGACGGACATGCATAAGCCGACACAGAATGTGATTCTATGCATCTCTTCTATGAATAAAATATTCTTCGTATTTTTATCTGCCACATTGCCCAAAATCTCAAAAATTCCAAACGTGTGGAAGAGGGGGGTAATTTGCCCCTCTTTTTTGATTACTTTTCGATGTAATCTTCAACCTCTATATAAAGGCACCCCCTGATTTTGGTTATCGCAAGGGTATTGGGCATATTTACTAATTGATGATTTGAAAAAAGTTGTCGCACATGTGTACCGTTATATCCACATATGAGGTGACCCCCTGGGGCCCCAAACATATCTGATTTCACCTATAATTTGTTCTGAGACCATAAAATGTGTTTTTCAATTTTCATGCCCATCAAAAAACATGGACCGAAGACGTATTATCTTTCATTTTCTGAATTATTTTCGTTAATTTAATTTTTCAATTTCCCCTTTCTTGCAGAGCGGATCGCAACCACGACAACTTCTTGACCATCAAGGAGTTGGGACAATATATCAACAAGAACATTGTGGATCACATTGATGAGGCCATACAACTGAATCCCCGAGAATTTCGTCGTGTTGACATATCCCCCGCTGACGGCCTCGTCACCTGGGAAGAATATCATCGCTATTTTCTCAAAGAGCATGGCATGACCGAGGCCGACATCGATGAGCACAACGAAATCAAGCACACCGCCTTGAATCGTAAGGCTCGCGAAGATATGATGCGCGACAAGGCCCGCTGGTCGGAGGCAGCACGCACCGATCTCTTCACGCTCACCATTGATGAGTATCTCTCATTTCGTCATCCCGAATCGAGTATAAGTAATCTCTTGGAGCTTGTCGATGATTTGCTAAGGCAATTTGATCAGGATGGTGACGATCAGTTGAGCATAGAAGAGTTTTCGGAGGTGAATGTGGCCGATGATGATGATCTGATACGAAAATCGTTGATATCGAAAACTGTGGTGGAGAGGAGAGAAGAATTTAAGAGAATCATTGATAAAATCAAGATGGCAAAGCTGATCGCGGAGAGTTGTTGAACTATGTGAACCCCAAGACGCCACGTTATGCCCTGCAGGAAGCGGCAACCCTTTTCAGTTTGTGTGATGAAGATCGTAATGGCAAGCTGACGCTGAAAGAGGTGAGTGAGAAGGTAGGGGGAAGGGAGGTAAGAGAGGTAAGGTGTGAAATTTTGTGGGACTTATGTTAGGGAATTTTAATGAGAGGGGCTTTTCGGGAAAAGGGGTTCAATATGAAGGGATATATGGAGATTTGAACTAAAAATGTACGAAAAGAACAAAAATAAGTACTGAAAGGACATTTCAGAGGTTTGATATAGAAGTGTACAAAAAGTACCAAAAGGTACTGAACATTGTACCTAGAAGTTTTGAAATATTTGTCTGAGTTTTTGACAAAGAAAATGATGTTTGAATAGGTTTTTTGGAAATTGCACCAAAAGGGTACGAAAAGTACTAAAATGTACTAAATCTATATACATAAGAGAGTAGTAAAATAACTGACTGACTGACTGATCGAGAATCAAAGCCCAGACAAAACGGCTGAAGTTAGAATCTTGAAATTTTGCACGAGGCTCAGTGTTGGTGCGTAGGCGTCTGAAAAGGTTGGGTTTTTTGGAAATTCATACTATAATGTACCAAAAATTGAATACCTTGTATTGGACAAACGAAATAAGCTAGAATTTTTGGAATATGGAATAAAAGTTACATATGGAGTGCAGGATAGATATACCAAATTGTTTTGGAGACTCCAACATTTAGGGTTACGAAAAGTTCTAATATAGTACTAAATCTCAAAAATGGTATCATTTGGTATCGTTTAAACGGATAGAGCTTAAAACTTGAAATTTGGTATGAGAATTAAGGTTGGAAATTAAGTTTGATATGTGAAGGTGGTTGTGGAGATGTGTACTAATGGTACTAAATTTGTAACAGTTTGGTTTGAGGTGAACGGATGAAGCTGGAATTTTGACATTTTATATTGGGGCTCCTATTGGCATAGGTTTGTAATAAAGATATTGTTTCGAAAATGTGTACAACAAGTGCACGAAAAGTACTAAATAGTACTATATTTCGTAAAATTCTGTATTGAGTGAACAGATAGGAGCTGAAATCTGAAATTTGAAATGAGAGTCACTGATGGAGTGCAGGAAAGATGTACTTTGGAAATTCGATCTTTAAGGTTATGAAAAGTTCTAAAATGGTACTAAACTTCTTAAATCGTACCATTTGGTATTATGTGAAGGGATAGAGATAAAAACTTGAAATTTGGTATGAGAATCAAGGTTGGAAAGATAATTTGATATTTGGTTTTGGAAAGGTGTACTATAATTATAATTGTAATGGGTGCAAATTGTACCAAATGGTACTAAATTTGGAACAGTTTGGTTAGGGTGAACGGATTTTTGATATTTCGTATTGGAGTTCCTGTTGGCGATAGGGTTGTAAAAAAGTAGGTTTTGCAAATGTGTACTAAAGGGTGTTTTTTTAAGCTCGATAGAACTTTAAATTGTAAAAAATAACACAATAAATTAAATTTTAATCAATTTTTTTTATTCGAAAGTTCAATACGTGACATTAACATTTGAAAATGATTTCGGGCATATGGGCGTCGCGGCTGTTCTTGACGAAGTGCATTCTGGACGTGCAATTTTTGGCCACTTTTTCGAGCACTGCTGGCCGTATGTCACGAATAACACGAACAATGCTGGCCTCCAAGGCGTCAATTGTTGCTGGTTTATCAGCATAAACCAGTGACTTCACGTAGCCCCAAAGGAAATAATCGAGAGGTGTCAAATCGCAAGACCTTGGAGGCCAATTGACAGGTCCACTTCTCGAAATCAACTTATCGATCAAATTTTGATTTCAATAAGTGGATGGTTGCGTTCGCCGTATGGCACGTAGCGCCATCCTGTTGAAACCACATCTCCTCCGGATCAATGTCATCCATATTTTTTAACAAAAAATCATTAATCATGGTGCGGTAACGATCTCCATTGACCGTAACGCGAGCTCCGGTCTCATTTTTGAAGAAATAAGGTCCGATGATGCCACCAGCGTGAAAACCGCACCATACGGTACATTTTTCTGGATGTAATGGAGTCTGTAGGGTCTCTTGTGGATTGGCCTTACTAATTAACAAACCCGTTAAGCCAAAAATGCGCCTCATCGCTGAACACAATCTTGCGATAAAACAACGGGTCATTCGCCAACTGCTCTATAGCCTGATTTTCAAAGTAAATTTGGATAATTTCGTAGCGTTGTTCAAGCGTGAGTCTATTCATGATGATTTGTCAGAGTATACTGAAACAAACACCCTTTACAAATGCATTAAAAGTACTAAATAGTACTATATTTGGTACAATTTGGTATTACTGATTGTAATGATTGTATAATGTTTGTATAATGATTGTAATTGTAAATACATCCATTTGTACGAAAAGTACCAAATGGTACTAAATTAGGAAATGGGCGAAGGGACAGGGCTAGAATCCTAAAATTTGGTATTGATGTCTTTGTTGGTATCTGGAATTGAGATATGTAGGTGGTTTTGGAAATGTGTACAGTAATTGTACGAAAAGTACAATATGGTACTTAATTTGAAATTGGGCGAAGGGATATGGCTGAAATCGTCAAATTTGATATTGAGTTTACTGTTGGTGTCTGTGGGTGAGATATAGCGGTGGTTTCGGAAATGTGTACAACAATTGTAAAAAAGTACCAAATAGCACTAAATTTGATATTGAGTGAAAGGATAGAGTTGAAATGCTGAATTTTGATTTGAGATCTCTGTTGGTATCTGGAATTGAGATATGGGATTGTTTTTTTGAATACTATAGTTGTACGAAAAATACTGGATGGTGCTATATTTGGAATTGGGTGAAGGGATAGGACTGGAATCAAATTTGATATTGTGGTCTCTGTTGGTATCTGGAATTGCGATATGGAGGTAGCTTAGGAAATGTGTACTGTAATTGTTCGAAATTACTAAGTGGTCCCAAACTGGATATTGGGAAGGAATAGAACTGAAATCCTGAGATTCGATATTGAGGTCCCTGTTTTTATCTGAAATTGAAAAATGGAGGCGGTTTTGAACAGGTGTACTACAAGTGCTCGAAAAGTACTTAATGGTACTGCATTTTGTACAATTTTGTATTCGGCGAACATATGGTGCGTGAAATAAGAAATTTGGTATGAGGATCGGTGTTTATGTGTGGTCTGGACATATTAAGGTGGTTTCGGAAAAGTGTACTGTAATTGTACCAAAAGTACTGAATGGTACTATATGTGGTATTAGATGAAGAGATAGGGATAGAATTCTGAAATTTGATATTTAAATTTCTGATGAAATCTGTACTTAAGATTTGTCGGTGGTTTGAAAATGCGTCCTATAATTGTACGAAAAGTACTAAATGGTACATAATTTGGTATTGGGAGAAGTAATGGGACTGGAATACTCAAATTTGATATTTATGTCTCTGTTGATGTCTGGAATTGAGATATGGAGGTAAATTTAGAATAATGTACTATAATTGTTCGAAAAGTACTAAGTGGTACTAAATTGGGTATTGGGAGAAATTCAAGGGCTGGAATCCTAGAATTTGAATTGAATTGAATTGAATTTGTACCATAATTGTACAAAAAGTACTGAGTTACAATTAATTGAATATTGGCTGAAAAATCCTAAAATCCTAAATGTTACTGTTCAGACATCAACAGAAACATTTATATCCAATTTTTTGTTGAGAAGAAAGTGGTTTGGAAATGTATACTATAATTGTACGAAAAGTACTAATTAGTACTAAATTCGTTATTGGGCAAAGGAAAAGAACTGATATCCTGAAATTTGATATTGATGCCACCGTTAGTTTCCAGGATTTATATATTTTTATAACTACTCTCAATTTAACATTTATTTTTTCTCTCTCTTTCAGATCCTCTCGAATGCTGAAATCTTTCTCACCTCTAAAATGATTGATACCGCACAGAGTTTCCATACCGAATTTTGAATTTTTTATGCTGTAGATCAAACTATTCTCTCTAGAATACTATTGTTAAAACGTACTACAAAAAGAAACTACTATCTCTCTCTGTGACTCGAACATATCCATTCTGAAGTAAATTGTAGTTTTTTTTTTTTTGAAAAAAAAAAAAAATATTATAAAATTGGAAGGTCATTGGAGGAGGCTACATAGACAATTTTAAGGAAATTTCAAAAAAAAAAAAAAATAATAATTCTATAAAGATCCCATTATATGTATCCAAAACGAGTAGTGATTTTTATAACATTGCCTATTGCGAAGAATGGGAGCTTTACATTTATTTAATGTTCAAATATCAAAACTGCAACAATTCGTTATCCTTATAAATACATAATGAACGACGACACAATGTATGTCCTTGCCATTGACCTCCCATCATTAAATTGTCTTACACTTGTAATTTATATTTAATGTAAATATATTTAAAAAAATATTATAAAATTTATATATTTTTTAACATTCTGTCTTTGTTAAGTTTGCTTGTTTTTTTTTTAAATATTTGTTTTCTAAACAGTTCTTTGGACCTTTAAACAAAATTTACAAAATTAGACAATTATAGTAGTGATGAATGCAAATAATAAAAAATATTAATAAAAAAATATTGTGAAATTATAATAGTGATATTATTTTTAAGTTGTTTTTCAAAAAAAAAAAAAAAAAATGAAAAAATAAAATAATTCAAACACACAAAACGGAACAATAGAAATTAAAATAAAACACAATACTCTTTTTTAATAAAAACGCAGGAAAATATATATAAATTGTAGTTAAGTGTATTTGTATAAAACGATATAAAGAAATAAATAAAATTTCATACATTTATGCAAAAAAAAATCCTGAAAAAAATTTAAATGAAATATTCACTCAGGGAAATGTGGAAGGATATCGACCTGAAATCTTAGTACTATTCCCAAACCCGTATTTAAGTTAGAAAACATCCAAAAATTAGTCTCATAAAATTTAAAGGTGTATGTAGGTATGTATGTGTTTGGTAAGCAAGGGCTAAGATAAGTAATTTTTACTAAAAAGTTCTCAAATGCTGTTTTTTATGCTATGCTGCATTTGTAAACCCTACACCACAAGGTGGTCAGGGTATTACGTCTTTGTGCATTTGTTTGTAACAGGCAAAAGGAAACGAGATAGACCCATAGTTGCTTTTGATGATCTGCATAGAATCACATTCTGAGTCGATTTGTGCATGTCCGTCCGTCCGTCTGTCCGTCTGCATTTTTGTAAACAAAGAACAGTTCGCCCTTATTACCCTATCCAGATGAAATTTTGCACAAATCATTTGTTTGGCCCAAGGACGAACCCTATTGAAATTGGAGGTAATCGGTCAAAATGTAGATATAGCTCCCATATATATCTTGGTCCGATTTACCTTTAACGTGTAATATCAGCCCGAATAGTATGGAATTTTGCACATACAACCAAATTAGGCCTGAAAATAAGTATGCCAAATTTGATCGAAATTGGTTCAGATATAGCTATAGCTCCCATATATATTGTTCATCCGATTTGTTATTTTTGTCCTCCGCAGCCATAATATGCACTCTGTAACAACAATATTTGGGGAAATATATCAAATGCAGCTCAGAAATACCTTTGCTAAATTTATCCACATCGGTTCAAATTTGGATATAGCCCCCATATATAACTTCGCCCGATTTACCTTTTTATAGCTATAGCTCCCATATATACTGTTTATCCGATTTGTTATATTTGTTACCCACAACCGTAATGTGCACTCCGTAACAACGATATTCAGGGAAATATATCAAATACAGCTCAGAAATATCTTTGTCAAATTTAATCGAGATCGGTTCCGATTTTGATATGGAGGGCTCACTACTATACCGAACCAAGTCATGAAATATAAAAAATGCCGAAATTAGTGCCAATGTCCCCGTATATGAAAACTCTGTTTACCCTGTAAAGCACAATGTCAAAAAGTGTTTCGTTCCAAAGATGACGGTAAAAACCTAAGTCAACGACTGTAATTTTCGACTTTTTTCAAATCAAAAATGAACCAAGTCAGTCTGTTTCACTTTGAATCAGTACTATTAGTGAGCACGTGTTTATTGTCGTTCAGTTTTCAGCAATATTAAAAAATTAGTATTTCTATAAATGGATAGTAATAATAGCAGTGCTAGTGATTTTTCCAGTAATGAAGTGAGGAATATTTGCCAGCCCCAAAAATGATGAAGACGGAAATGACGATTTTTTTATGTGTAAATATTTGTTGAAACCATGGTAGAATTAAGAAAGTAAAGTCATTTCAAAGTCTGTCATATTCCCCTGGTTAGAAAGCAGGTTCCCATCTCTGACTTGTATGGATTTATAAATATATATTGTGACAATGAGATGTTGTCAAATGCATAACTTTGAAAAAAAAAAAACAAGTAAAAAACTAAGTTTGGCCGGGCCGAACTTTGAATACCCTCCACCAATTGGTCCAAATTTGGCAATTTTCAAAAAACGAAGACGTGGACCTACATGGCCCATTTTCAATACCAAAAGTCCTGCAGTCATAATACACATTTGAGTAACTTTTTATCAACTTACTTCATTTCGTTCGGATGCTAGAGTGATTTCCACAGACGGACAGCCGGACGTACCTCGCTAAATCGACATAGAATTTTATGCTGATCAAGAATATATTATGGGTTCTAAAATGTATATTTCGAGGTGTTACAAACGAAATTACAAACGTAATATACCCTCCATACTATGGTGAAGGGTATAAAAATGTAAACATATAATTGCATGACTTTACCTTCTTATTTCTACCATAGTTGAAACCTTAAATTTTCCTTTATCCCTGTTAACATTAATTTATTTAAAAAAAATGATTTTTTTATTTTCTTAAAAATCACAATGATTGTCAATTACAATAGAAGCACCCCCAGCTGCCAGCCGCCAAACCAAGACATGACTTAAAATAAAACTCCGAAACTAGTGGAAAATTAATCGCTAAAATTAACTATATTTAGTCATATAACGAACACTTTTTTTTTTTTTTTTTTTTTGACTTGGTTCGCTTTAGCTGTGAAACCTTGAAATTTTATTCAGAGTAATAATGAACCAAAATAGATTTTTTTGTTTTTGAATATTCTTTTTGTAATATATTTAAATTATTTTTATTTTAAACTAATGTCATTAGTTAATTTTGAATATAGACTTTTACATTTTCTTTTGGTAGATTAAAATATTCCTTCCAGAAATTAATGTCAGTGCATTTACTTTACCTCTTAATATCTTCGAATTATGTTTTTATGACTTAGTTCGGTATAGCTGTGAGCCCTTCATATAGCTCCCATATATATCTTTATCCGATTTCAAATTAATTCTACATCAAATCGGCAATACAAGTCCGAATTTAAACGATACAAATGTAAAGCAAAGTGGTGTAGGGTATCATAAAGTCGGCCCCGCCCGACTTTAAGACTTTCTTTACTGGTTAAACAATAAAATCTATGTATAACCAGTAGGAAAAGGTAAAAAGTATGGTACTATGTGATACTCTATATCACTATGCGTATTTAGCAGAGCTCCCGTTACAAAACCGAACCTTATTCGAATGCCTATCATGGCTTTATAGTAGTCACAATTTGGGAACTATATCAAATTCTGAATGGTTTTTTCAACAAATTTGACTGAGGGCTTTATACCTCTAGCACCAAAAAACATTGGCGTATGTGCATGACATGACTTCGATAAGAATTATATTAAAAATTGGAGCAATAGATATACCGGACCGAGTTTCACCAAATATAAATATTTCGTCGGGAGTGTCAAAATTCAGTCCATTTGGGCTGATATTAGCCATTGGATGAACAGAGGGACTGACAGACATAAATCGACTCAGAAAGTGATTCTATGTGGATCCTCAAAAGTAACTGTGGGTCTATCTCGCTTCCTTCTCCCTTTTACAAACAAATGCAGAAAAACGTAATACCCTTACCACTAAGTTGTGTAGGATATAAAAATGGTGGTGTAGGATATAAATGCCATGTATGTAGGTGTTTGGTAATCTGTGGCTGGGATAAGGCAAACAATTTTTGCTAAAAATACTCAAGGGGTTTTTTAGCTTTAATCAAATCGGAACAGATTTAAATATAATTTGGCGAAATTATTTTCTGTTAAAATTCCGTCACTCATTCCAAACTTTATTGGAATCCGACGTACATATCGTGTTTAGAGCATCAAATAAATGAAATCGGCCGAAAATATGTATAGGAGCTTTATGGAAATTTGAACCGATTTCAATATAATTTGGTAATTTTTTTTTTTTTTTTTTTTTGTACCGATTCCGTTATGCATTTTGAATTTAGAGACTGTATCTGTATATAACCATTCAATGGATATTCATTCAAAAACAAACTTTTCTGGAATTACCTCTGACGCTATATCCAAGTGGAATTTAAAAAATAATGTAGCCTATTACAATATTTAAAATCTGCAGGTACCGATATATGGAAAATAGTACTTAAAGAAGATTAAAATGTTCTTAAAAACATTTTAAAAAGTATCAGTCGGCTTTGGCGAAATATTTATACCCTCAGCCAATGTTTGATTTTTTAAATATTTGTTGACTTCTGTTATGATTATTCAAATTGTTGACCCTCTATGGAGTAGATTCCAAAGGATTGATCCAATATTGTCCATTTCGTATCGGACCTAAATAAATATGATATAAATATTGCGACGTGCCAGGTTTGGACTATATTGATTACTTCCTTCACCTTATATGAGATATGTGATAAGTTTTAGAAAATGTTAAAGTGTGCGTGAGGTACCAGATATCGTCGACACAAGTATTTCATTTTCATACTTAATCTAATGCAGACAAAAATATTGGTATGGGCAAAATAACAAGAAAGTCGAAGATTTATATCCATTTTTTGCGAAATTCCGATAAACTCCATATTCTGCTGAGGTTTCTGGTTAAGAGAAATATTTAGATATAGAAAGTTGTATAGGATCGCCGACTTGTTTCGCAAGTTATGACAGATAAAAGTATTGGAAATTGTGACCCTTTGTGGTTAAGGTTCCACAAGAGGTTGGCAGAAATCTCTCATCTGATTTTGAAAA